TTTTCATATATTCATATTAATCCATTTACTTTTCTTTTCTATCATATTGTTCTATTTTTGAGACATCACTCAGATATACTACTCAACGAGCTCTATATATGTTCATTGTATTTTTATATAAAAGAAAAGAAATGTGTTATCTACCAACTATTATTGATTGTATTATTATTAATTTGTTAGGGCAAATTGATGAAGGAATACCCAGCAAAGCTGCGATTAGTAACACTTCAATGCATGTTCAGTTGCATGCAAACCGCAGTTTGGGCAATCGCACTGAACAGAAGTCCATCAGTTTGGAAGATCGAATTTGGCTTACCTCTTCTCTCCATGGTTTATTGTGTATGACTACATGATCCCTTCAATAATATCTGGACAATAGAAATCTCTATTCATTAGAACTATTAAAAATATAAACACAATTACACAGGGCATTGTGGTGACTGGGTTCACATATTGGTTGCAAGTATGGGCGATAGAGAAGAAAGGGCCAGTATTCACAGCACTTTACACTCCATTGGCCCTCATCATTACTTGCATCGTCTCGTCTCTCCTTTTCAAGGAGACACTCTACCTTGGAAGGTTTGTTTTTTTTTTTTTTATAGTGTAATTTCCTACTATATCTACATATATGTCTTTAGTGTCTGATGTTGAGAATGTGTATGTGTGGACATGGAATAAAATTGGAGCAGTGTGGGTGGGGCATTGTTGCTGGTATTTGGACTATACAGTGGTCTGTGGGCTAAAACCAAAGAAGAGGATATACAAAAACATGAGGAAAAGCAAAGCAAACAAGAGTTCAAAGAGGTTGTCATTGTCTTGGATTGCGTCCCCACGCATCGCTAGTCTCAACTCACAACTTACTTCTACTTTAACTTTGGCTACACCAGCACCCAAATTCCACCTTCTTCTTTTTTTTTTMTTTTWTTATCTACTCCGTTTTTCTCAAGTATCACATTAATAATTTCATGCATGGTATGTATTGTAAATATTTTTTTTTTGCTAAACAAATGTATTGTAAATATAAATGTGGATTTGTCTTTGCACAAAGTAATGTTTATTGATTTTACTGAGTAAAAACAATTAACATAGACAATTCTAAAAAATAATACAAAAGTAAATTTTATTTCAAATATACCATCATTTTAGTTTTTTCCCAAAAATACAAGTAAAATTTTTTTTTTTAAAAAATATCACAAAATTAAAACTAGTTT